ATTGTGAACAAAGTAGACAAGTTTTCCAAAATTCCAGAATTTACGGATCCAAATTTCGACTTACAATGATTTTTCTAAAAATTTTCCAAAAACTAGGTCGGAAAAGGCCCAAAACCAGAAAAATGTGTGTTTCCACAAAAATCAATCCAAAAATGATATTTTGACAAAAATAGGTTAAAAATGTAATTTTTATCACAAAGTAGTCATCAACACAAGTTTTTAACAAAATTGGAGATTAAAGTGTTATTCTTACAAAAATTGCGCCTTAATTGTAAATTTTTGGCTTATTGGGCCAAGAACGTTATTTTTATAAAAAGTGGGATTTTATATCAACTTTGTAGACAATCAAGCTACAATAAACAAAACAATAGCAAAAGGGTTAAAAACGATATTCATATCCTTATCGGGTCGGGAAATAATATAAATGTTTAGTGGGCCTTAGTGTCCTTTTACATGTATATTGGGCTTAGGATAGACATTCACATTCCTTTGAGCCCAGAAATAATAGACACGTATAGTGGGACTTAGTGGTCTACTTACATGTTTATTGGGCCTGGGAATGGGTTTTACATCCGTTCTTCTTTTTATGCTATTTTAGGGAATACTTGAGCCAAAACCAATGATAAACCAACAAATGGATTTAATTTGATCATTTTCTCAGTTATTGGGCCTTAGTGGCCCATTTTTATGTGTGAGAGGTCTTCTATATGTTTATTGGGCCTCATTGACCAATTAACATGTGCGACGGGCCTTGGATACTATTTGTGTGCTATTTGGGCCTGTAAATACTTTACATGTGAGATGGGCCTTAGTTGTCCTTTCATATATATTCTGGGCCCATCTTATATAATCTCATTCCAATTGGGTCTTGAAATGATTTCCATGTTTAGCGATCCCTTAGTGGTTCACTTACATGGATCATTGGGCCTGGAAGGAGTTTATACCTTTTTCTTCGCGTAAATTCGAGTAAGGATCTAGCGAGTTTTTTTTGGTTGGCACCTATTAAGTGTATGATCGTAGCCTGTAGTTATAACCAGAGTCTCTTGGAGGGAGAACGGGAATTTGTGTATAGATTTATACGGGGTTGACACCCCACACCTCATCTGTTCGCTACAGTTAGACTAACTCAGTCTAGGGTGACGAAAACCTTATAATCAAAGTCAAAATCGGCGTCCAACAACGCCAAGACAGGTGAAATTATCATTATTTAGTATGGTTATGACGGCTCGCTTAGAGGAATTAACGTTATGAAGTTTACGGAAGATTTTTTTTTTACAGGCAACATCGGGTTGTGTGGGAACATTCTCTTTACATGCTCTTACATTCTCTATACATTCTCTTTACCTTTTTAGTCAAATTACAATAACATACATGCATTAATACAAGATCTAACACAAACACACTAAACAGTTTTAAGAAAATATCGGATTTTCTGGTGGTTTTCAAAGTTATACAAATCATTTTCACAAACATGCTTATGAACTCACCAACATTTTTATGTTGACCGTTTTCATAATAACTTGTATTCTCAAGAAATCGTTGAAGCACGATGAACGAAACAAACTAATGGATATTACGTTATATTTTGTTTCATCATACTCTTACTATTTTGGCATGTAATATTCAAATACAATACTCGATGTAAACAATGAATGTTGTTATATTACATGTGTGATGATGATGATGTTATGTTTCAATTATATTCAATGTAATGATATTTCAAGATGAAGTCACGCACAAGCTCCCGGACGTTTCCACCGTCTGGTTTGGGGGTGTGACAAAGATATGAACATTTCTTTGCTAAAAAAGGTGATTCCTTAACCCAAACCTTTAATAAGTTTAACTATTTGGTTAATGATATGAATAGGTTGTAAATCGTTAAGCACTCCTCTCAGTTGGTTCTAAAGTTCCTAGATTCTCTTGGGAAAAGCTAGGAACATCACGTTGTTATCCTTAAGAATGATGAAAAGGTCAAGACATGGATCAGAACTCTTTGTTTGGTAATCTTCAAAATTAAGAAGAGACCAAATCTCTTCATAAAGAACTCATGAATGACTCAAGCAAGGAGAATTTTGTAGCTTTGGTTTCTCAAAAGGAAGCAATGAAGCACATCAACGAATCTGATAACTCCGACAAGGGCGAAGAGAGTGATGAAGATATCACTGATGGACTTGTTGCCAGCACTACTCTTATTGTCAAACATTATGAAGAAAGCACAATAAATGGGGTTCAAAGAGATCGGTTTAGAGGAAGCAATTCAGCAAGGAGATCCACTTCATAGAAGAGAACTCAGGTAATTGCTTTAATTATGGAAGCCCTGGCCATTTACCAGGGACTGCAAGGAAAAGAAAGAAGCTCAAAGTCCAGATAACTATGAAGTCTTGTATAATATGTTGTTGGCCCACATGAAGAAAGAAAACATCTCTCTGACGAAAGCCTTCATTTCAAAAAAAAAAAAAAGAGGATCGTGAAGAATGGGTGGAAGAAAACGAGACAACTGAAGAAAAGGGACTAAATTTTAAAGGTCTAATGGCTCTTATCAATGATTCTCCTTATGACATGTATGACGTTAATGATTCTCACACTGTCAAAGGATCAATTCTAAATCTAGGATAAACTTGCTACCTAGATAGTGGAAGATCTAGACACATGACTAGTTTCAAGTCCCTCTTAACAGATTTTGCAGAGAAGGATGGTCCAATGTTAGTCTTTAGTGACAATAGTAGAAGAGCTGTTACGGGTGTTGGAACTTTCGAATTCACGACAATCAAGCTGAAAGGTGTGTTCTATGTCGAGGGTTTAAAAGGCAATTTTATCCCCACCAGTCAACTTTGTGATGTTTATTATAAAGTTCTTTATAATTTCCATAAGGGAAATGTGTTTGATTATGAGAACAAAATAGTGCTTACTGCACTAAAGGACAATGACATTTATATGGTTTGATTTTATTTGTATAGACACTGACACTTTATTTGTTGCTTTGCAACTTTTAAAATTTTGAACATAAGCTGCTACAGTTTTAGTTTATTTTTTATTTTGCGCATTAAAAGCTTTCCTTTAACTTTAATATTACCAAAGAAGTATACATTGTACATTTTGTTACTAACATTGCCTATGTATGATCTTCTCTCTTACCTTCTAAATGTCTTAGGATCCTCTTTCTACATCTCGACATTGATCTTAATCGATAAGATCAACGTGTCATTCATTGAATCCATCACCTTCCTTGTAGAGCTAGCTAATGCTGACACTGCATCTTTTCTTCAATACCAACGGCCCTCTCGCTGATGTTGATGCACATGTTGATTGACATGTTGCTTCATGTTGATAAGACTAGATAGGAGAGAACTGTGCCAAAGGATGTTCTTCTGGACATATATCTCTTCCGTCTTAAACAGACTATTTCTATTTCAATGGGATGAAGTGAATTTAGGTGACATGGTACGTCTAATTTCCATAGACGTTGTCATATATACACCATCCCTTCATAGATCCAAAGGCGTCTTCAACAAGATAGTGGTCCCACCTTCTCTTCCTTCATGGATCACAATGAGTGGAACCTTCGACTTTTGTCTTGGTGACTTTTAGAACTCGAAGGTTAAAAATATTGGATCCTTTTAACTCGTTGGTTACAAATACTAGTTCATGCTCCTCCTTCGTTCTTAGTGGACATGAAGCTTAGAATCAATTAGCAAAATCTCAACGATTACATGCATTCTCTCTCTTTGTTTACTATGAATTGCCTTCTTTTATATCGAAACTTGAAGGGCAGATATCTTGTAAAATGGAAGTGCATTTATGGCCATTCAATTCAAAAGATTTGATGGATCAAGTCTTTATCATGCTTCTGAAAAAGTTGCACATATTTTACTTTTAGAATATTTCCTCATTTGACTAACTCTTTTGTTTGTATTCTTATATTATTTGTCATTTATTCTTTTTGTACCACTCTTATTGATGTTGTTGATGGCATTTTTCAAGCCAATATTTAACAATTAACAATATCTTGTCCCTAGAAGCATGTTGTTGTATGTGACTAAATCTCTTTGTGTCTCTCATCAACGAGACCATCTGCTGAGAACATTGAGTCACCCACTCACGTTGATTGTCTGGCATACTCAAATCTTTTAAAGTGAGATTTCCTGGTCCAAATTTATATATTATATATATATATATATATATTATATATATATATATATATATATATATATATATATATATATATATATATATTATATATATGCAGAAATGCATGGGTGTTCACTTGTATTCAATTGTCTCTTACCTGACTTCATCCCTGGAAGCATGCTTGAGGTATGCATCAAATCTCATGTTCTGCTGAAACATTGAGCATAACCCAGTGGCTTACCTTGATTGCATAGCCATCATCATACGAGATAATTTTTTGGTCGTTAATTGACAAGGGGTTGTTCATGTCCATGACCTCCTAAACTGAGGTATGACATGGTACCATTATGAATTTATGGTGAATCCTTGATTCTAGACTACAACTAAACTTTGTGATGCAAGGATAAAAAACATTTATTGTTGATGAGCTATACTTGTTAACAATTCACACTAATTCCACCTTAATGTGACTGAAACAATCCAGTCTTTCCCTTATATTCTTCTTTAAAGCTTTACGATTCAGCGTAATGTACCATACATTGATGAGAGTTTGACAAATGTATGCCAATGACAAATTAAAACACCACATCTTATCGCATGCATCAAACTATTCTATCCACAAAATCTTCTATAGAATTTTACGATTCAGCGTATGATACAAAACGCCAATGAGATTTGAAAAATCAGTGCCGATGGGTATACCATTATCCGTGATATATTACAGACACCTAGCCACTCTTGCCCTTTTTTCTTCTAATAAAAGTGATTAATGATTCAGCGTATGAAACCGTACGCTGATGAGATCTCGCAATGTTATGTCAGTGAATGGTAGTTTAAGCCCACACTATCAAGAGACATCAAAAATTAACTAGATGTCAAAGCCTATATACGAGTTTGTCCCCAACACTCATGTCATCAAAGGTTCTAATGCCTCTGACTCTCCCATCATTCAAGTGAAAAATGTAGCATTCTCTGATGAAATCCCAAAGCAAATCGCAAACTCAAGAATCAAAGATTTTGTCAACTATGTGAAGAGTTGTCCTCTTCGGTATGCCTTCTGTGATTTCCCAGACCCACTCTATCCTAAACAAGTATAAGTTATACTATTCATGCTCTTTTAATTCTGATATTCGAACCATCACTAGAACCATTCGAGAAGGTCGACATAGGGTTACTATTGATGTAGAATGCTTTCAAACTGCTCTTCGTCTTCCTCGATTTGAAAATTACTCTGAAACTCCCTCGGAAGAAAGTTGCATGTATATTCATGAAAATTAGGGTATAATTTCAAACTTCAGGGCATCACTCATTATCCATAGAAGAATACTCTTTGTTGGTGTTTTAATGTAGGATGGAAGTATTTAACATGTGTGATTGGAAAATGTCTTGGACACAAGACTGGGAGTTTGGATCAATTGAATCTATTTGAGCAAATGATCTTATTTTTTATTATGTACAACAAAAGATTGGATTATGCTCAACTTTTTCTTGATCAAATGATTGACTGCATCATTGGGAACAAGAAGCCAATGTATGTTCCCTATCCACATTGGCATGGATTGATCTTATCTCGTAAGGAAGGTTTTGTTGAAATTCATGAGATTTTCATTCCAATTCCTGCCCTTTCCTCAAAGATTATTAATGTCACTGCATCTGAAGGTGACTTGCTTATTACTTTGAGGATGTAAAAATGGATTGAAAAACACTATGTAATTGAATCCTCAAACTCTAAATAGGATGATGAAGATGATAGTAAAGAAGACAATGATGAAGATGTTGATAAAGAAAATGATGAGGATGATTATGAAGAAGGCACTAGTAATAAAGAAGGGGCTGATGAAGAAGAAGACTCTAATAAAGATGAAGTAGAATCAGCCACTGATATGGGATAAGACTTTGCTCAGGGAATGAACTCTCCTCCAAGGATGAATAAGCACATTCGATTTCTATCCACTTCTTCATCCATTCCCTCTACAGATGTTGTTGTACAATTTGGATGAACCCCACCTAATGTGGAAACTGCTAAGCCAATTATCTAAGATGTAAGTTTTCCAAAACCAGCATCTCTTCCTCCTCAAGCTGATACTATTCCTCCTATGCCAACTCCTATCAAGACTGCTACTTTTCATTAGGATGATCAAGATGAATCCAGCTCTAATTTTTAATCTGTTGTGCTTTCTTAACTCTCTCTAAGTGCAGTCAACACAATCATTGGGTAGAAGGTTGACTAAAGTAGAGAAGGATGTGGCTAAGATTAAGTGATTTATGGAATTATATGGTGATGATGTTGATGATATGGTTGTTTAAGGCACTCCTCCAAACTCTCCAAGTGATAACCCTCCTTCGCCTCCACCTCCATCAAGAAATTTTCCTCTACTATCTCATCCTCCTCCTCACACTCCTTCACCACCTTTTGGTTCTCCTCCCCAATCTGATGTTGCCCAAAAGGGGGAGAATAATCAAGGGTTTCCGGATCAGCAAACGCAATTGGTGGTAACTACACCAACTCCATCTCAGCCTGAGATTTCTGAAACATGAAGGGTTGAAGATGTCTATCAAAAGGAAATTGTTGTTGTTGACATTCCAGATGCTAAAACAACAACTGATCAAACCATTCCAAACACTGGTGATCAATCACATACCAATGACTATGAAGGTTGTTTTATCTTGGATTCATGTCACAAGATGTTGTTCCTATTGTTCCTTTAAATGTTATTTAACCTAATTTTTACTTTGAAATGGGGGGGGGGGGATTCCTCAAGGAACTAATACTGATATTGAGTATAATAATGATCAGCTCAAACCTTGAAAGAGGAAGGCTTCCTCCTCAGGGGGAGCTCATGACACTGAAGCTAGAAGTTCTAGTGTCGGGGATCCTTTAGCACCTCATTTTTTTATCTAAAGGAATTGGATAAAATATGGAGCTTAACTATTGATGAAGTAAGAGAGATCATGATGGAGAATAATGTTGCTATTTGATAGAATAAAGAAGCTAGAAAAGGAGAACGATTGTCTATCAAACTTTCTCAAGCCCTTGTTTCCACTGATGAAAGCACTAATGATCAAGTCAATAAAATTAAACTCTTCAATAACAGTGTGGAGGAACAACAAAATGTTTTAGGCCTACATGGATGGATTGACAGGAAGAAGTTTGTATATGTTCTAACTAGAAGAACATAGCTTGATCCCATGATAAAAGTGACATGCATTAAATCCAAGAACGAGTCATTAAAGCTTCACTTGGTCGAGAAGAAGACTGAATATAAATACATTGAGGTTGTATTTGCTCGTGAGCTAGTCAAATTTGGCTAAAGCGAGTGGATAAAATTTCTAGAAATTATTGCAAAACATAAGGGTATTCATGCTTAGGAAGTGAAGTTGGCAGTTCAGCAGCTACTCAACAAAGTCAAGAAATTGAACCTTGTGTCATCAGCTGGTCCATCTAGACCGTCCTCCTCAGGAAGTATAGGCGCTACGAGATAGTCCAATAATAACAAGTTTCTTCTTCCTTATGGAACTAGGTACATCAACAAAAAACTGCTAGTAGGTATTGAACCAATCCAGTAGATGTTCATTTGAGTACCAGAGCATGAGATTTTCTATCTTGATAGTCAAAATCACATGTACTTTTAGCACACTGATGATCTTAATGTTGCTCCCACAGAACATTTGTTTCATCTTTGCTTGGAAGTACTTAGTCACTTTGAACTGGAAAGAGTATATTGTGTACTGATATCTCTGGACCTTAGTAAAAGATTGGAAGAGCTTCAAATTGATGAATACAGAAGGGTCGGGCCTATGATCTTGAAAGAAGCTGACAAGTTTTGCAATGGTTCTTCTGATGACTCTAAAGAAGAAGATTAGTTTTGATATCATCAGATAGGGGAGATTCTAAGTTCATATCTTATGATTTGATGAGTCAAACACTCTACACGCTATCTGTCAGCGTCAGCATCTACATCTCGTTAACACCAGCGTTTCACATCTAACAACGTCAATGAGTAGTATAGTTATTCTATGTAATCTTTTGTATATTAGGTGACGCTACATATATATATATATATATATATATATATATATATATATATATATATATAATAGATAGAAGATCCAATATGCTTGTGTTAAGGATCGGTTCTTAGTATAGATAAGATATGATATGTGCATATTTAGTGTGTATTAAGTATAGTTTTTTATTCATATATTGGCTAAATTATTGCATATTATGGACAAAAGGTACTTAAAAGTGTTAAATTATGTTTTTCAGTCCAAAGATGAAGCTCGGAAGCGAAAGGAAGCAAGAGAAGCGGTTAGGAGCTCGAGAGTGGAATGAAGAAGGAAAACACCTAAAAAAGGCTTCTACTCGTCGAGTCGAGCCTGGACTCGACGAGTCCGGTCGAGGAATCAGAAGGATAATGATTCGGAAGTCCAGATAGTTATCACAATACGGAGAATGTGAGAGGGACTCGACGATTCGGAACGCATATTTAAAGATAACTCCACAGATCGAGAGAGAAGAATTCTGGGAAGTTTCAGAAGTGCTTTGCTGCGAATAAGAAGCCAGAAGAACCCTAGAAGTCGACCAAGGAAGCTAGAATTCAATTCCGGGAGTAATTAAGGCACAATTTCATCATTCTACTTATTCTTTTGTTTTGTCAACATGATTAAGCAACTTGAACTTGTTTGTTTGCTGTTATTTACCTTAATTATGAACTAAAATCTTTAGACTTCTGTTTGGGATACAAAGTTGACAATATGGTTTGATTGATTGGTAGGATTAATTCCAAGTTGGTGAATTTTTGTTATTTTAGCTTGCTAAAGAACCTTGTGTATGAATGATAATTAATTTTCTGTTAATAGGAAGATAATTGATTAGCATGAACATCTATTGATTATCAACCTCATATGATATGTGACCACTATACCATATGTCTAGGATTAATGAATATGAAACTAGGATTAATAAGGAAATTGAGTAAATTCATGTGCAAGCTTGTAAGATGACCATCAAAAAGAGGTTAATTAAGAATAATAAATTAATTAGCTATTGCAAGTCTAACTTAACCCGAATAATTAATCTAGTAAATATAATTAAATTAAGCAATTGGCCACTGTTTGAGTTAGTTTATTTGCTAAGGATTAGGGTAGTGAACATGAACCTAATCACTTGAATCGGTAACCAACGAAAGAATTAATCCATTGCACTATTACCTTAAAATCAACCATAGAGTTAACCGAGTTGAACTAAACAGAAGTTCCTTTCCAATTATTGAATCTAGTTAAATTGTTATTTTCTAGTCTTAAATTAGTTATAGTTAGTAAGTTTCTAGTCTTGTAAAACTAGAGAAAAACCCTATTTCTTAATCAACTTAGATAGAATTAGTTTTTAATTTAATTTGCCGTTCCCTGTGTTCGATACCCTGCTTATTTAGCTATACCACAATTGATAGGTTCACTGCCTTTTGTGTGTTATTTGATAATTAAAGTAGGATTAAAACTAAGTGAGTTTTACACACATCAAGTTTTTGGCGCCGTTGCCGGGGAACGGTTCTAAAATTAGCATTAAAATTCTAATTCAATCGATCCTTTGTGTAAGATTCATCTTACACAAAGTTAATTTCTGTTTAATTTTTGTTTAAGTTTTTAGGTAAAAAAAAAAAAAAAAAAAAAAACCTGATTTTAACTTGAACTCGCCGAGTGCATTCGCCCCGACTCGGCGAGTACAACGCTGAATCAGATTTAATTTTTTGTTCTTTTTTACGCGTTTTGTTTTGTTTTTTTTTGTTTTGTTTGCAGTTGGTTCATGACCCGAGGATCTGCTACGCCTCTGGTTCCCCCTTGAAGATCCGGAAACCGCATTAAGAAGAAACAAGGGCAAAACCGTTGGAGAAACCGCTTCTTCAAAGAACTCACCACTCAAAAACCTCAAATCCGTTTTTAGCAAGAAAAGGAGCAGCAAATCAGGAGCATCCAGTGCATCGTTGACGAAGACCCGATCCCAAAAGACACCGAGTACGAGACCGAGGAAGAAAGCGAGCACACATCCGAGTTTGAAGACGATTTAGCCACCGCTATGGCTAATATTGACGAAATCCCCATGGGGGAATGGAAGAAAAGGATGCGTGATGACACCGGCCCGGGACTTGTGCAACCCGCAATTCCCGCTACCGCTACGTTTGAACTAAAGGGCCATATTCTCGCTCAACTCAAGGAGATCCCTTTTCACGGGAGAGATCATGAAGACGCCTATAAGCACTTGGATGAAGTAAATGATGTGGCGGATTACTTCAATGTACCCAATGTGCCTCGCGAGATCCAGCTACTACGCATGCTTCCTGTCACATTTAAAGGAGCTGCAAAGGATTGGTTGAAGTCACTCCCTCCCGGATCGGTTACCACATGGGCCAAGATGAAAGAAGAGTTCATAGATCATTTCTGCCCACCTTCCAAGATAGCCAAGCTAAAGAAAGCCATTGCCAACTTCGAGCAACAACCCGGAGAATCTCTTTATGAAGCTTGGGAAAGATACAAGAGCCTACTTAGAAATTGCCCCCACCATGATCTTAATAGCCAACAAGAGGTCTCCATCTTTTATGATGGAGTTAATGTCACCACAAGGCAACTACTCGATTCACAAGGCCCGCTCACCCGAAAGCCACCTCCGGAAATAAAGGAATTAATTGAAGAATTCTCTAAGCATTCTAGAGAATACCACAATCCGAGGAATGAAGTGAGTCGTGGAGCAGTAAACTCGGTGAACGATGGCATGGCGGCGGTAATAGCTAAACTCGATAGCCTAGACCGAAGAATGACGAAAATGGATCAAACGATCCATGCTATTAGAGTTGGATGCGAAAATTGTGGCGGCCCCCATCTTACCAAGGATTGTGATCGAGACGAGAATGGAAATAAAAAGGCTCAAGTATTCTATTCCAGTGGCGATAGATACGATGAAGACTGGAGGAAACCGAAGAAGGAATGGCTCCCATACGAAGAGTATAAAAAGGCTAAGGAGGAGAAATACAAACAGAGGGAGAGGGGATATTATCAAAAGGAAGAGCCGGTGACGGAAAAGAAGGCAAATTTAGAAGATATACTCACAAGGTTCATAACCGCGTCCGAGAAAAGACACAATGATCACGATGTAGCAATGCAAGAAACCAGAAACATGTTGAGGAATCAGCAAGCTTCCATTCTCAACATTGAGAAACAGCTGGGACAACTTGCACATCAAGTGAATGAAAGAAGACCGGGCCAACTTCCGAGCAACACCGAGCCCAATCCAAGAATGGAGAACGTGAGCGCAATAACCTCCAGAAGTGAAGAAAAATGCACAGAAGCACTAAGGATCTCCAAGAAGAAGGAAGACAAGGTAGAAGAATCGGAGCCAGCCAAACCCGACCCGACTCGCCGAGTCACTCCTGTGGACTCGACGAGTCCATGCGAAAATGAGAAACCCATCAATTCTTCGAAACCTTATAAGCCTCCACTGCCATACCCAACCAAAGCCATGCCTGCAGAAAAAGTTGAAGCATACA